GTCTTTGAACACCGAGCGGAGCAAAGGGGGAAGGAAATGGCAGCGGAGCGCGGAGCTAGGCCGGAGGAGAGTCATTTCCCCCGAGCTTTAGGCTGGTTGTCCCGGAAACGCGCAGGGTCTGCCCCTAGGACGCGCTCCGGGCTAATGACCTCGGAAGCAGTAGCCGCCGCCGACGGACGAGGGCGCACGGAGGCGGCGCGTCGGCGGCCCTGGCTGCGGCCGGCTGGTGGGCACTAGGCCTTCGGGAACTCGCGTCCGGAATCCCTCTGCGGCCTCTGCCTCCCGCCCTCTCCAATCTATTTCCGAGTCTCTGTTTTACGAAAGTACCCGGCAGCCCGGGCCCGGCCTCTCGCCGCCTTACCTGGAGCGGCGCCGTCCGCGGCCATTACTGATCTCAGGTTCTGAGCTCAGGAGCCCCCAGAGTCACTGCGCCCAGTGCCACTTCCAAGGCTGAGGGCAGACAGAGCTCATCTCTTTGCAGCTCCGAGGGTGTTGGACGGTTTACTCTTACTGGAAAGGGGAGGGGAGGGTGGCCAACATAATCGCAAGGACACTTAAAATCTTAGTGCTGGGGTTTCGGGTGGCCATAACAAGCACCTTAGGACCAGAAGAGACTTCTCTTCCATTTTATCTCTTACAACACCTTATCATACATTAGTTATTTATCTATGTCTTATGTATATGGCGTTTGTCTTGCACGTTAGTAAGTCATTAACTTTTATGAAAACTTCAAAGCGCCTACTAAGTGTTTTACCCATTATTTGTTTGGCTGATTATAATACCTAGCACCAAGAAGGTATTGTATTCTGTTAATCTGAATAGAAGTGTTTATTTAATGTTGTCACTTTTTATCTGAGGTTATTTTAGACTAAAAAAAAATGTAACTGGAAACAGGCAACAAGTTAGAATTCTGAACCTGTAAGCATTGAATAGGACATTCCTTGAGGCACTGGAGATATAACTTGATATGAACATATATCTTAAATTCAAGACACTGCAGTTAAAAAGAACTGGACAAGTTCCAACCATAGTTTATTTCATGCTATTGTCTATCAGGATATAGTTACCCTGGGGCTAGCAGGTGGCTTAGTGGTTAAGGGACTGAACACCCACATGGTCAGCCTTAGTTCGAATTTTGGACTGGGTGGCCTGAAAATCATGTTAAGCAAGTGCGTGAATGCCCAAAATCCCAAGAGAAGAAGGGATTGAGGTGAGGCGATCCCACCTTGGATTTCTCACTTTCCCTCTCATTGTCTCTGCCTCTGGGTTGAGCAAGCCCCTAGTGTCAAAATTCTTTTAAAAAAAAAATGTAGTTATACTGTCATGATGAATTCAATTCAGTTACATAAGTCTAGTGCCTACTTATATCTTTTGAGAATGTAAGTCAGCACTTTACTGGAAATGTTGTCTTTTGTAAATACCTTAATAGGGCAGTTACTTTTTTTTTTTTTTTTAAGTTTTATTTCTTCCCTGAGAAACAGAAAGACAGGCATCCCTGGTAGGGTCTTCACATCACAGTCCACCTCTAGCCTTACTCAGCCAAGATCATAGATATGCACACACACAGCTAATGTGCGCAGGGAGGCTGCCAGAAGCCAACTCAGTACCTTCCCAAGTGGCCTGAGCATTGTGGAGCATTGCTTACCACTGTGCCATTGAGTCTGTCTATCTCCTTTAAACAAAACTACATGGTGATTGCATGATGCTACATTTAGCCCAAGTGTTTGAAAATATTAACTCATGTAATCACAACAACCAGAGGAAGCAAGTGCTGTTCTTACTCTCTTTTTACAAATGGGGAAAACAAAAGCACTGAGACGTTAAATAACTTGCCCTGGATCACACAACTCACAACTAGAAAAGAGGTGAAGTCATAATTTAGGTTGAGGTAGTGTTAGTCTACTTCAGAGTCTTTGCACTGTGCTCTGTAGGTTTACATGTGACCCGGTGAGACTACAGTAACTCTCAGTACTGAGCCTGCTACTGGCTGTGTTCTCTAGGTCTGGGGAAAAAAAAAATGTTTGTAGGAAATTAACAAGGTATTCTTAATATCACAGCTGATTATGCCTTCTTCGAAACACTTTACTAGGCCACAATCAGGTTGTTTTCCCACGTTACTGGCTGCCTCTTCTGTCTTTTTTCTGGCCCCTCTTCCCATTCTCTTATCGCTCAAAAGAAAAGGCATTGGAATCTTGCTTATCTACTCTTTCTTTCTCTCAGGTCTTCCCTTATCCAGAAATAGTGTCTTCCTAGACACCAGCTAACACTGTACTCCACTGATTTTTTTTTTTTTCATAGCGTGTGCTACATGCAATTACACATTTATTCGTCTCACATGTTACTTCTATGTTTTCTCCACTAGCATGTAAGCTCCATGATAGATTTAAGTCTGTCACAGTTTGGGTTATTTTCCAATGTACTATTTTTTGTATTTACCCTTCCTTGCCTTCTTTTAAATTTACTAAATGTTTTTGAATTTAACATTTTTCTTCTAAGGTAGTTGTTTAATCTCCATTTCTATTATTTTAAGGAATTATTTTATTAAACTTTATTTTGTTTATTTATTTAATTTGACTGGAGAGGGACAGAGAGAGAGTGAGAGAGTGAGAGTGAGAAAGTAAGCCACCAAGTCTGAGACTTGAATCACGGTTGGCCTTGTGGGAGTCCAGTGCGCTTAACCACCACACCACCTGCCGGCTCCATTCGTTTCCATTGTTTTAAATAAATTAAAACATTCATGCTTCATTTATCAGTGTCTAAAATATAAAGTTAATCAAAAGTATTATCTTTTTCCTGGATAACATTAGGACCTTAGACTGCTTTAATTAGATTAATCCTTCTTTTGACATAGCTGCTCCTACTGTGGCATTTTAAGTTCTAATTTTAATTTCAACTCAAGTGTTACTATTACTAGTACTTTTTATTCATTTAAAAGACATTTACCCACACTTTTATCAATTTCGTTGCTCTTCTTTCTGTATCTCTGACCTCCATATGGATCACTGTTCTTTTGCCCAGACCTCTAGGTTCACCAGTTGGTAAATTTTCTCAGCTTTTGTTAGTTTGAACAAAACTCTTGAATTTTCCCTCAGGAGGAATGTATTTTTTGACAATCATTCAGGAATAGGAGAGATGAGAATATTAATGGAAAATTGTCCTCATGACCCATTATTACATAATTTTATATCTGAGTTAAAAACATTCCAATGTAGGCCAAAATACCTGATTTGTCATGCCACATTTCACCCTTCCTAGAAACATGTGTGAGTTTAGAAGACAGAAGCCATTCTTTGGGTTCTAACACCAAAATTTAGAAGTGCTTCTTTGTTTCAAGTCCAGAGGTGTTTTTTATTTTTGTTTGTTTTTTAAAGAATTATTTTATTTACCTTTATTTATTTATTTTAATTTGATCAGAAAGGGACAGAGTGAGAGAGAGAAAAAGAGAGGGAAAGCAAGAAAGCAAGCTGCCAGGACCAGGGCTCAAATCACAACCATGTGGGAGTCCAGTGCCCTTAACCACTACACCACCTGCCAGCCCCTCAAGCTCAGAGGTTTTCACACCATGGGAAATAACACTGGTGTCAGGTTCAGGATAAGTGAGAAATAGGCTTTTTTGTTGTTGCTGTTGTGCAATTGCAATAGGGGATAAGAGAAGGAACTGGTGTACAGGCAGATCAGTTTCAGCAAATGGTACATACAAGGGGGTCTTCAAAAGGGTAATAGATACCACATATTATGAAAAAACTATCCATGAACTTAAATTTTGTTTTGATTCCAAAATGAATTTGTACTTTTTAATTTTTTTAGAGATTTTTGCTATAGAGCATGTGTGCTCACTGGAGAGATGGAGAGAGACAGACAGAAAGTGAGAAATCACCTCCCAGCGGGGATGGTCATACCACAATCCCTTCTCCTCCATTCTCTTCTTGGGATTTTGGGCATGCACACATATGCATCTGGTGTGAGTTTTAAGCTTCCGAGTCTGAGACTTGAACCACAGGGAGGGAGGATTACGTGAACTAAACTGGAAAGGTCTTCAACAACTAAGCTCAAGGCTTCCACTATCTTTAAAGGTACATTATGTTGAGCGCAGCCGCTCGCCGGGAACGGCCTGGCCGGCGCCCCCCCCACACACTCCGGGGGG